GGAAATGACATTGGCGTAGCCTCGGGCATACTTAGCAAACAGCAAAAAACTACATCAAAAGCCCAAATGTGTCAACTGTAAACAATATGCTATAAGTCTATAGCTGGAGAACCCGAACCCGTAAAGCAAAATTTCCCCGGGAAATTGTGATTCGTGGTGCTTTGAGAAAGGGCTTAAGGTTTGGAGGCTTGCAGGGTCGTATGGGTTTGAGGCTTTGCAGCTTAGCTCAAGTGTTACCCTAAACCCGAAAACCATAAAGCCCTAAACCCTAAACCCTAAATCTACTGAGAAGGGTCGAGACGAACCCCTCCTTGCAGCACAAGCAACGGGAGAAGTTGTAGGTTCCGTCTGCCGAAGGCAGACAGTTCTCTCCCGACCTTAGGACCCAAAGGGTCCAAGTAATAGTATAGTGTATACTTTTGGGGCTCAAATACCTACTAAGTAGCTACTATAATGGTACTTGAACCCTTTGAGAGAAGTCTTTGACATGTTTCGGTGTGAGATGGGGGGGTGACATCCGAAGCCTAGGACCCGCAACCCCAATGCACCATGCACAGGGAAGCTCTAAGAAACATCTAAATGGTACTTCGTGGCCCATGGGTGCTGGGTTTGTGACAACATTTGGGATTTGAAGTGTTCCATCTGGGACCTGTGCGATGTAGCCATGAGCCAACCTAGGTGGGGCTTTGTGTGATTGTCTAAGGAGGTTGCGAGGGTTGGGTCATGATGCGCCTTGAAAAGCAAACCCTGGTCCTGCAGCCCCAAAATAGTACGGCCCATACAAGGAAGCCTAAGATAGATCCGAGGTTTCTCATTCGGGTTCCTATAAAGTCCGGGCAGCAAAACCTTCAGATCAGCATCCGGCTAGTAGAGATTATAATCGCGTAATTAGTTTGGCGGCTGTATAGGCTATGGGTAGAAGAAGGCTTGGAGAGGCATTCTAGTCTTAACCCTGCATTTGCGTTGTGTTGCAATGCAGTTCCGGGCGAGCCATCCCAAGTTCTTTCGTCCTGTGGCAAAGCAATGATTTACAAAAGGCACACGTCTCTATAGAGAAATGCTGCAAGCAGCTCTTGAGATTCATGTTCAGAGCCCCACAGAGAGAGAAATCCGAGGGGCTTGATAACGTCAATCTTACGGTACGAGTAGCCCGGCTTGATGGCCTTCGACGGCACCGTTCCACAGTCCAGTTCAGGGTTTAGGGTAGGGGCTCTGGGGAAACAGGGTTTGGCAACGTCTTCGCCATGGAGGCAGGTCTTTGGGTTTCTCCAGTACAGTAATGTAGGGGCCTTAATAAGTAGAATAGGGTGTTGGGGCATATTATACGTGTCCCGCACACTGTAGGGTGTAGTGTAGCGATGGATAACTTACGGAAAACATTTCAATGCTGGGCATTGTGGAACAGTGTACTGCAGGATGTTTTTTGTCGGTGAGGTGTGGGGTTCATGGTTGCAGGTATATGCAGGGCTGACTTTACTTGTTGGGTTCGACCTTCGAGTGCTGCAAAACACGGACTCCTGTTCTGCAAAACCCGAAGAGCTCTAGGGGGGCTCGGTCTGTAAGCACCACAACATCACATCCAGCCCTATGCAGCAAAGCAGCACTCCCTAGAAGACCACGGACCCGATGATGGTTAGGGCCAGGGTTTAAGATTTAGGGTTTAGGGCGCCTTCGTACCGTCTTGACAAGCTCTACCTCCGTACAGCAGGGTAAGCCGTCCACTCCGCAACTGAGCTGCCAGGAAACGAATGTACATGAAACAGTCCCTGCGCAAAGAGCTGCACTCGAGATTCTTGCTGAACCAACACAGGCCCAAATGCAGCAAAAACAACAATTAATCCGAGCTGCGGCAGACCAGAGACTCCAAACCCGCAAATACAGTACCGGTAAACTCGACAACTTTTCAAGCCGTACACACGCAAAAGCCTAAGCCCTGGACCCTGAAGCCCGAACACCTCGAGCTTTTGGTGGCCTGGTCGAAAGCAACCATGATGCTCCCCGGGCTGCCATAAACATCGGCATTGGGCAAGGTGAAGATGGTCCTGAGTTATGAAATCTTCCAAAAGCCTACTTCATGCAGTTTCATGAGTCTTGCTTTCGATTCACTATGGGTGCATGGGAGGGTGTTAAAGTAAGATAATCCCTAACCCTGAACCCAATAAGGAGGACATAGAAAGGGATGGTCCTTCTTGTGGTCCTCAGCCGTCAACTATCGTTGTTGGGTCTGGGGCCTACAGCCACAAGCTCCTAGAGCTTGGGTTCCGGGCAGTTCCGGGTTACTATAAACTGGCTATAAACTTGGTCTTCAAGGATTTAGAACTTATGACATGCTGGGTGGAGATTCAGGGTTTATAGGATTTAAGGCTTAGCGCAGGCTCCAAGATAAACACAAAATGTAGTGTCAGGTGACATACGACTTTACGCTTCGCATTTCGGCATGGCTGCGGCAGGCTTCAGTCAAATGTAAGGTTTGCGGTGGGGACATCAGGCTGCTTCCTAGAGAGCTGACACCACCTGCCTGGGATGCGATGATGATGCACACCCTTGCATCTACTGTTGGGGCATGCAGACTTGGAGCTGGACTTCGTACTAAAAAGGGGCACAGGGCATTTCCACCTCACAGGTCCGACGGCTAAGTCCCAGCAGTGGAGCCCTTGCAAAAGATTACTGTGGCCTATCAGCCCTATAGGTGAGACCAGCAAGCAAGAACCCCAGACCGAACTTCTGAAGTTGGGACGACGACGGGGTGCTTGTACAGTGAGGAGAGCAGACCAAAAGGTTAAAGTTTCGGCTTTATATTACAGACTCAACAGACTTCGGTCTGGACCTTCGATCCTTAAACCGGCTTCGAAGTCAAGACGGCCAGGAAACACCGGCGGGGTCAGCGACAGAGTCGTGATCTCTGCCGACGTTTGCCAATCCTGAGAGTATGATTCAGGGCGTTTTAAATATAGTAAAGAATGGTAGCAGCAACAATAATAACCATAGTAGTTGTAATAATAACAACAATACGAAGAATCTGCATACTTTATTCTGACTCACTTAAGATCCCCTGTGCTTGAAGTCCTGGAGTTTAGGCCTTAGTGTCCATTGGGGGGCCTCTGGGCTTTGGAAAGTTGAGCCCACGTCGCTGCAAGTCTAAACGAAGCCAAAAGTGCATCCTGCAGTCATTTCGAATTCCCCGAAGTCGAATCCCTTGCTGTATGTGACGGCAGACTTGCGATGCAGTGCAGACAAACTCGACAGTTAGTCTGCGCGCGTGACAGCGTACGTTTCTTCACATGCACCCAGCCATCCC